CATAACAAAGCTTTTTATGGAGTCTAAATATGACAAACAATTTAAATTTTGTTACAAGTGTGTGTGTGTGTGTGTATATATATATATATATATATATATATATATATATATATATATATATATATATATATATCTCAGGTAAGAACTTAAACTTTTAGATAAATAATATTGGTAAAAAATTTATCATGCAATGTGATGTAGAGTCTTTATCCCATTTGAGATAAGTAAATTATTGATTCAAAATGATTAGATCTAAGTTGATAATGATATAGCTATGAAATATTTATAAGTTTAATTTAAGGTTTGATCGATGTTTTGAATATGAGATTAAACTGACAAGCAAGAAAAGTAGACATTGCTTTTGTAGTGACGATCAAAATCTTACTCATCCTTTGCACACATACAGTGAAAACTGACCGTTAGCTGGCACTGCAGATGAGGAAAGAACAGAAGAAATGAGTGTATGTTGTACTGTGCAGAGAAGAGCAATTATTTATCCAACTGTTGCTGCCTTAATGATATGGTTGAACTGTCGGAAAGAGATTGGATCCTCCTTTCTGAGGAAGGACAAATGATGCATGGTGAATACAAGAATGCCTGTGTCTCCACAATCCTCATCATCCCTTGTGCATCACCAAAGAGGACACGGACACACATGTTAGAGACACAGATCTAAAGCTGCATGATTGGGGATGTGGTAAATGACATGGTCATTCTGCGTGCATTACTGCAGGGTCATACTACTTTTATACTGTGCAGGAACGGCAGGGGGAGGAGGGCAAAACGTGGCTCCAATTGTGAGACCCCCCAGTCCCACAGCAGAAGGCCTAGGAATAATGGGCATGGAGTAGGTCGAGAGTGTACTTGATTGTCTCCATGCTCCCTTTCGAACCCACAGGACGAAGACACTGTATGGAAAGCACTGTGTGCGAGTTGTGTTGCACCTTTTCTACAGAAGAGAAATATCTGTGCTCTCTGTGAAGGCATCATTTGATTCTAAACCTGGAGACGATTTTGAGCAGAGACAGTGAGAGAGAGAGAGAGAGAAAGAGATCAGCAGAAAGCAAGTAGTCATCGTCGCCGCCTAAAAGCTTCTTTATATGACTCCCATCCCCATCCCCTGCCAACCACAAACCGCAACTTCCTAAAAGCTACAGATCACACTGTTCACCTCCCGCCCCACTATATGCCTCGAACAGCTTCGTCGTCACTGTCGCAAATTATCAGTGCCTTGGCGTCCTCGGACATCACTGTCACATCCAAGTTGGTCAGCTTCTTGGCCCGCAGTGCCTCCACCTCCCAGTCGGTGCGCAGAAGCACCACGGCCAGCACCAGGACGACGCACACCGCCTGCGCCGTCAGGAGGCCGTACCAGAGCCCGCCGAAGCCGATGCGGAGCTGGAACGCCAGCCCGACCGCCACAGGGGCGCCCACCAGGTAGAAAGAGAGGAGGTTGATCCGCGCCCCGGTGGCCGGTCGCGCCGTCCCGCGCAGCACGCCGCACCCGGTGGTCTGGGGGCAGTTGCCGAGCTCGCACAGTCCCACGAGCGGAAGCGCGGCCGCCGCCAGCCGCAGCACCGACGCGTCCACCGTAAACAGCCTCGCCCACTGCTCCCGGAAGAGCGTGGTCCACGCGACGTGGATGACGCCGATCACGACTGCGCAGCCGAGCGCCACCAGCGCCGCCATCTTTGCCCGCTTCGGCCTCCCGGCGCCGAGCTCACTGCCCACCTGCGTGAGCCATCAGAGCACGCAACAAGCACAAGATGACGAATCCACGACGACCACTCCCGTTTCAGTATACGAGCGATAAAAGCGACCAATGGAACAGTGTCAGAGACCGAAGGCGAAGAACAACAAAGGCGAACATCCTACGTGGCGAGTTCTGATTCGTAGAGACAACATAATTCTCACCTTTACGGGAATTCGAAAACCCCAACAAAATCTTGCCAGATATAGAAAACGGCAGACCCCCAAAAGAACCCTGCGGGTCCGGTGCTCCGGCGGAACACCCCTAAAGAGAATCCATCCAAAGACGGTGCACGAACGACGAGGTAAATAGAAACGAGATGGAAGAGCGGAAAGGAGGGGAGTAGGTTACCCTTGTGGAGACGCAGGCGGCGAGAGCCATGGGGACGGTGTACATGAGGCTGGTGGTCTGGATGAGGACGGCCGTGGCGGCGACGGCGGAGGTCGGGTCGGGGAGGTAGCCGGCTAGCACGGTCATGATCTCGTACCACCACCACTCGAGACAGACGCCGATGCAGCTGGGGAGCGCCAGGCGGAGCACCGGGGAGAGCCCGCGGAGGGACGCCCTGGACCATCCCCGCCAGGAGAGCTCGCAGGCGCGCGACACGCGGAGGTAGCCGAGCAGGAAGAGGGCCATGTTGAGGTTGGTGACGACGGCGGCGAGAGCCACGCCGGGAACGCCGAGGCGGAGGACGAAGACGAGGAGGAAGTTGAGAGGGATGTGGAGGAGGACGGCGGCGGCGGAGCAGGCGGCCATGGGGCGGGCGATGCCCTGGGAGCGGAGGAAGACGCGGAGGGGCTGGAGGAGGGCGTTGGTGAGGAGGTCCGGGAGGGAGTGAAGGCAGTAGGTGGCGGCGGCGGCCGTGATGGCCGGGTCCTGCCCCAGGGCGACGAGGATGGGGCCAAGGTTGACCCACAGGACAGCGATGGGGACGGCGGCGAGCAGCAGCAGCAAGATGGTGCGCTGGAGCGAAAGGGAGATGAGTTCCCAGTTGCGGGAACCGTAGGCCTGGGAGCAGAGCGGCTCGAGGCCGGAGGCGAGTCCGAACAGCACGGAGTAGCCGGTGATGTTAGTGAACCCGATGGATAGCGCGCCGCCGGCGAGCTCCAGCGGGCCGAGTCGCCCCAGACACACCACCGACACCATCGCCCGTAGGTACACCAGGCAGTTCAACGCGGTGATCGGCGCCGCCATTGTCCACAACTCCCGTAACTCCGCCGTCACCAGCCTGCCCATCCCTCCTCCGCGTCCGCCCTCCGCCGCCTCTTCCCGATCCCTCCCCTCCGCCATCACAGACTCCCGGCGACAGAGATCAATCGCAGGGGAATTTCGATCTCCGTCCGCCCGTCGCTTCGAAAGGACGCGTAGGCCTCGCGACCTTAAATGGAGCGCAAAGCGGTGAGCTTCACCGGGTTCCGAAACGCGACCAGGGTGACGCGACCACAATCGACCCCCTCTACGGGCGACACGTGCGGCGCGCGTGGTAATAACAGTAGCATCAGGCGGCGCGGGTTAAGGCTCGCGTTGTTCCGCACGAGCGCGAGAGAGGGGGAGGGCGTTGGCGCACACGGACAAAACGATGTTTGGTCCAACTGCGAGGTGACGCGTGTCAGAAGTAAGGTGCATCTATCAGATCGCTCGTGCACAACTCAACAGAGATGGCTGGGTAATCACTCGAAGCCTGAATATTGTACATGTCATCAGGGCTCCACAAGCAAAGGCCGATTAGGATCCCGCCACGTCAGCCTTGGATCGCACCGGCTGCGAGTTTGGACGAGCACGCCGAAAAAAGGCCGGCGATGTGAGTAGTCCTGTATGCTTCGGCAACGACCCACTCTTGGATTACGTAGCTGCCATAGCCGCGAATAGAGGCCATCATTCATACACCCTCGATACGTCTCCTTCTGACGCTGGCGACGTGTTTGCATGTGAGGTGGATGGAGAGGCACATGAGATTTTATCTCAATCCTACTTAATCAACCCAAGGTTAGAGGGACTAAGCACAGCGTGTATAAATGCATATGTATATCATTTTATCTATGATTCATCGCTGTTTAAGATAAGAAGAAGGGTGGTCCAGGACTTAGGCCTGCGCATGGCTTGGGGTTTATGACTGCGAGCTAGGGGTTATAGGTTGGACCAGTCTGCAAACAGGAGGTTTAACCGGATAAGTGTTCACTACCATGACTCGTCTTTATGGGGTGGTGACAAGAGTGTACCCTCTTGGATGAGCTGTCGGAGTTGTAGGTGCGATAAGTTCCACACTTAGTTTAGTTCATTTTTAGCAGTCCTAACTTTGTGTCTTCGGTACCATATTTGAGAAAGCCTATGTGGTCGTCAATCAGGTCAATGCTTCCTCACTTGCATAATAATGCATCGATCACTACAGTGTCTCCACAGAGATGACTGACTATACAAGGAGAGTTTTTTGTTTTTTTGAGACTCAGCAAATAGTTTCGAGGTTAGACAGAATCAATATCGACACATCAGGTTGAAGATCGAAATTTACATTACCATTATTCTTCCAATTTTTATCTCCGCACTTAGATTCTTTTGAGGAAGGAAAAAAGTTGGTAAAGCAAAAGCTTATGGTTCTAATTATTAGACAATATCGAAAGAGTTATGTGCCGCACACTCTCCCTTTCACCACATGCCCCTCACCCAACATATTCTTTGAGACCAATATTGCGAGAGTCCAGCCCTTGGTGTTTGTAGGACTCCCTCAGCCTAGTTGAAGATAGTGGGCATGGACAGGAGTACAGCCTTCTTCTACAGTGGTCTTGTGGGGATGCCGAAGGATAATCTTTTCTATTTACATGTACTGAAGGCACTATTATTTGACAAGGTTGAATGTGGTTCATTTCTCATTTAACTATATTATCTATGAGTCACTGCTTTCAATTGTTTAGGCACGTTTTTCTTGACTAGCATCATTATTGATCCATGTTCTTCACCATCCTCAACAAGATGTTACTCGTTAAACAAACAACAAGTCATAAAATCTCAACTGTTTCATTGTAACTATTGCTTCAGCTCGTTCGGCAAAACAAAAGTTCCTCTCCATTAACAGATGCAGGAGATCATGGGCAAAGTGAATCACCTCTCCTCTGTAAGCCCGAGTGTTTCAGGTCTGTAATGGCAACACAGAACTGTGCTTACATGATAATTTCTTTATATTTAGGGTTTCATTACCGGCTGTGCTGAAGACGAGAGAGACTTGGTAGAGACAAAAGGAACTTGTTTTGGGGAAGATGATATGGAGATCGGTTGATTAACTTAGGAGGACTGCTTCAGATACATGAAACGAATCATGGCAACGATGCTCGTGATCGTAAGATGATACTTAGAACCGGAGGTTGTTTCGCTGAGTCCTCTTGATGAGATGATGATCGATGGACTGTGCCTTTAACAAGAACTCAGTCTCAGGTGAAGACAAGCATACCCACATATAAACACCACAAGTTGCCGAGTTGGTGATTAGTTTTCCTTCTTATGAAAGCAAGAAAGAATATATATATATATATATATATATATATATATATATATATATATATATATATATATATATATATATATATATATATATATATAT